ATTTCCGATATTACCGATATTTTCTTCCTTGGTTATATCATACATGTTTTCATGAAGTCGATTTGGTGTGTGTAGATACTAGATGCTCCTTGTTTGGGACACTTTGCTGTCTTTTGATCCGAGTAAACTTTTTCTTTTTGACTACCATATCTACTCATTTCAAAATTTGGCACACTTATAAGTGATACATTTAAGTGGTAACTAAAATATGAGACATAGAATCCTTTTTCTTTGTAATTTAATAATTTGACTAATCTAGTTTCAATTACCGACTGAAGGATTATGCATGCAAATAATGACCTAATTAAACCAGAAACCATCAAATGACAGTTCATGATATTGAATCAATGATTCAAATTGCAATTTGTTGTAAACAATGATGAATATTAAGTGTCATTAATATTAGTGATACGATACGATCGTTCTCTCACATTATAATAGGTGAATAAGTAACATTAAATATGATAAATATTAAGTAATAGTATAATATCATTAAGTGATGCGATACGATTGTTCTTTCAAATTGTAAAAGGTGAATAAGTAACATTAAATATGATAAATATTAAGTAATAGCATGATGCGATACGATAGTTCTCTCAAATTATAATAAGTGAATAAGTACCATTAAAATGGTGTCAAATAATGAACACAAATTCCTCACAAACAGCAACGTGGTGTTCCCATATTGGCATTAAAATGGTATCAATCATGAACACAAATATATTCATCACGAACATCATGTGTGTATATATAATATACAGAATAAATATTATAGTGAAACCATTTTGTAGCCACTACAAGAAATATCTTACTCACTACAGATATTTTTTTAAGTCCCTATATATGTGTTTAATTGAAGATAGATGACAATTTCCTCTCATTTAACTGAAGTCCTACTATATATTTTCCAAAAGGAAACGTCATATTTATTCTTCAATACATTCTTTTATTTATTCAATCCAACTATGAGAAATCGATATAGGTGTGTAGGGAGAAAATAAGGGTGTGCAGAAATCACTATTCCGTTCTAAAAACATATGTTGATAGAAGTATATGATCAAGCCAAGATGCTTAATGGCTATGCAAGTTTTTTAGGTAAACCCTAATGCAAGTTTACAATTTTATTATTCTCTCTGATAAAATGAAAAGAGAAAAAACCAAAAAAGGGAAATATTTTTTGCTTACCCACCCTATTTATGATTATTAGATGAGTATGAATTTCGAGATTTGTGCAGTAGATCAATACAACTCTCAAAATTTAAACTTATCAAACAATGACCATTACCACCACTTAAGAGGGTGAGCTAAAATGCACTCCCAAATAAATGAAATCATTGGCATGCAAGGGTCACGTGGCTTGAGCTTAGGACAAAAACCATGAATGAATTAGGTTTAGTTTGGTAGTTGATGAAACATAAACAAGATAATATATTTGTCATTTTTTGGATTTGTTAATGCGACAGAGAAGGTAATTACTTCCAACCCTTGAAATCGTGGGAGGAGAATGCATTGGCCAGACAGAGTTTTATTGATCTCTGAGTAAGGAATAAAATCAGATTTTTGGGGTGTTTTCAAAATATGGGTGTGTAGATTTTATTCCCCAAAACAATTGCTTTGCTTATGTGTTAGGGTATAACGTTTTTATTTTTGTTTCTTCAAAGGTCGTGCAATGGCCGGTGCCAAATTTCCAAAGAATAACGAAGACCTTATCGAACTTTCGTTCCAACAACAGATATGTAGTTTCAAATAATATATGCAGAAAAATGGTCTCTTTCTGACGCGTGAGACTTGAGAACTCGAGCGCAAGACTCGCAGCTGGACAAAAGTTTAAGTGAGGGACAGTTGGGTACGTGCTCTCTGTTCATACCCCAAACCTTAGAGGCTTTGCATTTGACTGCTTAATCGAATCTTGAAAGTAAAACTCTCCGTCAACATACAAAAGAACCATGCGTCTATAGATCGAGTTATACTGGATTATATATGTTGTCGGCTACCTCTCTGATAATTTCCCAATCGACGTCATGCTAATTTTATCGTATCCTTTGTTTATGTAGCAAACTTGATCATGTGTACTGTGTTTTTGTCAAATTTATATGTTGCCCTATTGAAGTTGTAATACACATTCAGATAAGACTTAACTTCATCGATAATTTTGATTCATATAGAGTTTCCTAACATAAAATGCTTATGTTGCCATACATTCTATTAAGGAAACAAAAGCTGTGATTGTGAGAAGAGAGCATTTTTATGTGTCAGACAGTCTAGTAAAAGACTACTTCCATTATAGATCATTATGTTTCCAATTTCTATCAACATTAAGAAGGGTTGATTAAGCTCTTAAACAATGCTACCAAGTTCAAAATCTTGAAGGTTGTGATCATTGGAAAATCCACATTGGAGGCAGTGTGGCTAATAACCCTCATATATGGTCCTACGATCCTTGGCACTCATTCCTAGGGTTTTACATCTTTTCTCGTAAAGAAAAATTTATGAATCCGCCACTAGTTTTGAACAATGATAAGACATAGCTAATATAAAGCAGTAGATAAAATGGCAGGCCAAAAACACATGCTGACTTTTGAAGTACTGAGAGATATGGAAGAGATGATGATGAGTTGTAACCAGATTTTTAACTTTACAGATTAATTGTATAATGCTAACTTGACGCGGTAGATTAGATATATACATACAGTACTGTGAGTTTTTTAGGGTTTACGAGGTGAAGACAAAGAACGAGTTCTGCGGTTCCCTTGTCGGGATTTTGAATGCTTTAGAGAATGTCCGACTCAGCTCCCACGATGTCCTTCTCCAAAATCGGCCGTCCTCTGCCTCCATATTTTTCTTACTTTATTCCGCCAATCCAATGGTTTCTATTGTATTATAATGTTCAGCAAGACACCATCCACGTTCTGATTATTTAATTATTTTACGCATGCTCTTCTTAACTACTTTCTCAATTCAGTCTTAAGCATTCTCACAACTTAATTTAGTTTAGAGAACTCTAAACTGGATAGCCTAATTGTTTGATGTGGTCACTTCGTATTACAATCTAACGATATTACTCTTTATTTATAAGTGAGAAGTCTTAAGTTAAATTCCGGCAGATGATGAGTTCAAAACCAAATTATTGTGATTGACTCATTATGTAGCTTAATCCAAATCCCTCACCCCTTAGTGTACATGTATAATTTATACTGAAAATATGACTTTAGCCCTTTAAACTCAAGTTTCTTCATATAAAACCCGATATAGTATTTTTACTTGAATAAATCCCAATGACTAGGCACCAGATTAGCAAATTCATTAATTTTGTTTGACCTTACACATTTTGCATTTTTTTAGATGCCTAAATACCCCTAATTACAATTTTAATGTATGCATTTAATTCATGCAGATTTGAAGGGAAGGATTAATGAAAAAATGCATTAATTTTTAAATTCATTGCATATTAATATATCATAACAAATTGTATGTTAATACTTCTAGCAAAAAAAAAAAAAACATTAACGTTATACTTTCCTTAATATTTCATAATTGTTTTCCATTTTAATTAGACAATTTTAATTTAATCTTGTCATTTTCTTACCAAATGGAAACTGAAAGGGAACTATGGAGTAATTTACATAAAAATATAGGTAAATTATTTGGACATATATGTTAGTAATAAAATAATCTCAGTATATGTAATAATACATGCAAAATAATTTAACTACAAAATAAAGAATTTTATCTAATTGAAAATTAATTTATCTACATTTTATATGTAATAATGCATGTCAAATAATTTACTTACAAAATAAAGGAATGTAAGTTGATTAAAAAATAATATATCTACTACTTTTTGTTTGTGAATTTTAATTTACCTATTGTTTTTCTTTTGTACAAACATAATGTACCTACAATATATAATTCCTACTAAATAAAGGAATGTAATACTGCATTAAAAAAATCACGTACAAAATAAAGGAATGTAATTTGATTGAAAAAATAATATATCTACTACTTTTTGTTTATGAATTTCAATTTTCCTTTTTTTTTAGAAACATAATATTCCTACAATATTGTTTAATTCTTATAAATAAATAATGTACTTATAATTTACCTATTGTTTAATTCTTATAAAAAATAATTTACTTATATTTTACATATAAATATATAAATTATTTTTAACACGCATATATAATAAAAAATAAAAAATGGCTAATGTACGTAATAATTTGTGTAAAAGAATTTACGTACAAAATAAAAGAATATTAATTGATTCTTTTTTTATCAAAGAATATTATTTGATGCAAAATAATTGATCGTACAAAGGATTCTTTTTTTTTTCATACGAAAAATGTGCCTATAATTGTTTATGAATATAGGTAAATTAATATATATATATATATATTATGTTAATAATATTTATGATACAAAAAAGGTAAAATTTCCATATGGGGTTAATTGCTAATCATAATTAGGGTGAGTAATAATATTTATTAACATAATTAGGGTTTTGTGGCGTAAGTTGTAAATATGTTATAAGAATTGGTTATATTGGGTTTTTGCTCTCTAAAGAACCCTAAACCTAATTTTTATGATTTGTATTATTAGTTTAGAGAACCCTTAACCTAATAATTAAACAAATCACTAACTAACTGACCTTTCAATCATCGCTTTGGATTGGTTTTTTGTTCCTAATGACGCTAGTTTTGAGTTTTTCTCATGGTCTTATGTGGTTTAATCCCATTGAACCATCTTCTTATTTTAATCACATCATTGCATGAACTTGGCATTCTCATGAGCTGTACTTTGCCTGGTTGTGGGCCCACAGTGAACTCCTGATACGATCAGTTACAGAGAACTAACCAACCCCCCATCCCTACAACAATCATTGGGAATTAAGAATTGCATTTTACAATTGCAAGTCAAATTCTCTTGCGACGGCCCCCTCTGCGTTGAGTATATAAGTGTTTCCACTCCTTTGCTTGTCCTCAGTGCAAACATTTGAGCTAAACAAATATACAGAAGTCCAGTACTCTTTCTTTCTTCTTTCGTTTTATCGCTTTTGTTGGGATCCTCCTTTTCTCCCAAAAAAAAGGATCGAAAAGGATCTTTCTACTTCGAAAAGAAATGGAATCTGTTGGTGTTTTTGCTGATGGGGAATGGGAATCTTTGAACAGGTTGTTTACTTCCGAAGAGGTTGAGTTCACACCACATTTTCTTTCCCAGGGAAATTCATTCCCTTTCCAGCACAATGAGGGAATGGGATTTGAAACCCGAGAATCTTTTTACCCCAATATTCCTGGAGCTGAAACCTTTTTTCACCATCCTTCTTCAGATAGTCCCAATTCTAATGTGGACTATCTTTCTTCTCAAGAGAGTTGTAACTATGGTGACCATAATCATGGCATTTTTACTACCATTTTGAACCAGGAAAATTGCTACTTTAGTAATTCTTGCAATTTCCCAGTGAGTAATATTGATGTCTCTGAATCCATGGATGTTTATATGAATCGTGATGGGAAGAGTTTCGCCTCCTTCGTCCCGGCTTTTTCTGACATTGTGATGCATGGAAGTGAGTGCAACAAAGAGGATTCCGGCAGTGATAGCCAGCCGGCTATTGTTCCGGTTCCTGAAAAGGAATTGCAGCTCAAAAGCGTGCATGATGCGCCGGAAAAATCCAGCAATGACACATCCGACAACAATCCGAAGAAGAAGCCTCGTCTATCGAAAGATGTAAGCATCATTTAAAAATTCAAACTTTTGAAAACCTTGTTTCTTGGCTAGTATTTGTGAAGCAGTTTTCTAACTGTGAATTCCACACATTGCAGGTAGAAAAAAGTAAGAAAAATAATGTAAGGTCAAAGAAGGGGCAAAAGGGTAATTCAGATGTGAAATTCAAAGATGAAGAAGAGAGGCTGCAGAGCACAAGTTCTTGCACCTCTGAGGGTGATAATGGTTCTCTGGAGATCAATGGAGGAGAAACTTCAGACCCCAAAGCTTCATCTACCCTTAACTTGAATGGGAAGACCAGAGCCAATAGAGGGTCTGCAACTGATCCCCAGAGCCTCTATGCTAGGGTAAGTAATACGCAATATCTTCAAAAGTTAAAAACGAAATGTTTACCAAACATGCCTATACAAGTTCTAACGAGTCAAGTTTTGATTGGATCTTGCAGAAAAGAAGAGAGAGAATCAATGAGAGACTAAGAACCCTACAGCATCTTGTCCCTAATGGAACAAAGGTTGACATTAGCACAATGCTTGAAGAGGCAGTTCACTATGTCAAGTTTTTGCAGCTCCAAATCAAGGTAATAATTAACAAATATTGTTACACTTTTAAGTTTTAACTACGAAAGCATGCACAAACAGAGCAAGTGACGAGCTGTTAATTAAAAATAGAACTAGATGAGAATACTAAACAGGCAATAAAACACTACTAATTCATGGTTTGCATGCAGTTTATGATCTGCTTAGGTTATAGTTCTTACTAAAAGTTTTGTAACCGATTTTATTTTTGAACGTTACTCTTTTACTAAATTGTAAAATTTCTTCGTCATATGGCTTTGATTATTAATTAATTGTGTTGTTGATTATTGCAGCTTTTAAGCTCAGATGATATGTGGATGTATGCTCCCATTGCTTATAATGGAATGGATATTGCTCTCGACCTGCAGAAGCTCTCTCCACTTTTATGACACAACAGCAGCAGCAGGAAGCTGTTCTACCTCTTTTTTACCCTTTTCATTTGTTTCTAGTTGTTAATTATTATCGACATATATATATATATATATATATATGAACATAATGAATGTATACTAATTAATTTAATTCCCTAACTTTGTAATGGGGGTTTTTAAGTTAAATAAATTCCAGTTTCGATCATGAGGAAAATCCTCTGATCAGATTTTTATGAACATGTATGGACTCAGTTGATCCTCAGCATTATAGGGCGGAAAAATTGTTCAATGTGCCGAGAATACAGCCGATACACTAAGTATTATAATATAGTTGGTTATTTAATCAAATTTTCAACCTATTATATTATTACAATTGGTGTACCGAACCATGTTTGTGGCACAATGAAAAATTTCGGATGTACTGAACGTTTGGACATGCGACCCCTTGGATACACAATAAAATTATATTTAATAACTATCTTCACGTTAATGGTTCTAATTTGCATAAATTTTGAGAATAGAATCTTTGATGTCAGATTCTGATGATGAAGATCCAAAACGTATGTGAAAGTACAGTTCATTGGAAGTTGGCAGATGGATTTCTGAGCTTCGTGCGACATTGTTTAGTATTGACGGTCAACGATAATGGTTAATAAAGAAAATAATGTAATTAATTAATTCAAAATAGAATCAATCTAGGGTTATCAATTACAAAAAATAATAAATCTAGGGTTATCATTTGCTGTGAGAAGATGAAAAGAGCAAGGCATTTGTGTCTTTTCTCTTCCACTATATGTATGAGAGGGGAATTTAAACTTGGTATATATTTCTGATCTTGCATGTAAGTATGTATATATATGTGGATCAATGCCAAGCGACGTTTGTCTTCCCTCAGCTTTAGCTACATGAAAAAAGTAGCTAGATCTGTGACAATATTTCTAAAAAGATAATGTTTGTGTCCTCTATAGGAGAACTTATTTGTCCCCCTTTACGATTAATAAATTGTCACTGTCTGAAAATTATAATTAGAACTATTTATTCTCTTTATCACCATCTTAAAATCATTTAATTTAAAAATCGTTAATTTACTCATCCACATGCATATAACAAATGGACGATTGATCCTTATGATACAACGTATGAATGATCAAATGATCTCAACATAATTCTCTAGTTCTACAGCACAGCCGAAATCTGTTCCTTTTAAGCACTTAACCATTTCAGTACCAAGTTACAGACAAAAATAACCCTCATCTAACAACTGTTGGATTTGGAGGCTTTCTATACGAAATGGTATTTTATTTTAAACCTTTTTTTGTTGGATTTGGAGGCTTTCTATACAAAAATACAGTTTGACAGACTTATCTCCAAGAAGAGAGAAAAAAAAGAATGAATGCAAAATCATTCATTCCCTAATTATAATTAATTTATAATATATAGGTTGTTAATAACAACTTGTAATATGGGTTGTTAATATTGTACATATTCAACCGCAAGGAGAACCCTAGATCAGTTTTTTTTTTCTTTTTTCTTAAATTTGAATAATAATACTTTTTGCCTCTGATTCCTAGTTCTTAATTTTTTTTTATAGAAAATGTATGATATTAATTAGCGATAGAAATACATACAATCAATGAGGATAAGGTGCATACAGTGGGCCTCGATAAAATCTTGCCAGGAATTTCAACCCGGTCGAAAGGAAAAAGAGTGTCCAGTACCAAACAAATTAGGAATTACTATCCTCAAAGAGAAGATCCACAATTACATCAGGAGGTTCTTCAAACCAAAGAATAGGATTATTGTAACAACCCGTCCCGAATAATTTTCCAGATTTTGGAACGAAAGGGCATTTTGGTAATTTCCCCTTGTTTGGCTAGATATTTTGAATTCGTTGCTTTTTAGGTCTTAAATGGTGTGCCATGTGGGGCCCACCTTTACACCTTGGTCCCCCGGCCCAAATCCTTTATATCCCTCTTCCCTCACAACTTTATTTCTTTCTCTCTTTCTCTCTCTCTCTCCGTGAAACTCATCTCTCTACCTTTATCTCCGAGAACCAACACACACACACACACACATAGACAGTCACCACCATCACAGCAATATCATCACTTCATTTCCCCCTCTCGCCTTTGTCAGCTCTAGAATTGGGCATATACGACGGAACCACCATTTGCTCCGACGACTTAACTCAGAACCCGACGAATCGAGGTGAGTTCTTTGAGTTTAGGTTGTATCTTCGTCTCTAGTGAGAGTTTCTAGGAACCCAGGTTGTTCTTGAGCTGAAGAAAAAAAAAACCGAAGGTTTTAACCCTATTAATACGTGTTCTTTTCCTTTCCAGTTTTTTGGTGAGTCCGATGACTTTCGAGCTATTTTCAGGCCACTTCGGGCCACGATTGAGGAAACCAAAGGTACCATCCTAATCTACACTTGTTTGTCTTCATTTTGGTACGTAGATTGTAGGTTATGGTTGAGAATCGAGGTTGACCAGAGCTTGGGAAGCTTCGGCTTTCTTCTCCATCAAAATCTGCCAACCCGGCCTGAAAACGGGTTAAACCCGATCCACCATCCTAGACAGGCCTAATTCGTTGGGTTATGGAACTCGACCAAATATATTGGCCCAAACCTACATGTGTAACCGGATCCAAACCTTGGGCTATTCAACCAAGCCCAACTGTCTAGCCCAACCTAGAAACAACCCAAGCCCAAAGCCCAATTGAGAACCCGGCCTAAACCCAGTTGCCCAGGCCCAACCTTGCGACCTAAAACCCTCGGCCTAATCTAACTGAACCGGTCTGACCTAGAACCAAGTTGGCCCGTGGGCGTGTGGAGCATACATACCTCTACCGGAGGTACTGTGCAGGTAACTTTTCCGACCAACTTTCTGACGACCCAAATCAGCACGTGGTGGCTCGTGCGGCGGCTCATGGCCGTCCTGGCCGTCGCCCCGTGGAGGCGTGTGGAGGTACCCGATGTCCTATTTTATATTTTTCGACGTCCTAAATCCGTTTATAACATCTGTTTCCCGAGATTTAATCGTTATGATAAAGTTTTATTAATTGAACCCTTTATGTGCTTAGGTGCGTTTGTTAGTGGCGTTCCCGTCCACCCTTGTTTGCACGGCTCTTCCCCAACCATTTCCAAAATGCATGATTTTACTATTAGAGATGCATACATGAAAAGTATGATTTAATGGCTACGTTTTATGAAACGTTTATAAGTAAATTGGTTTCATGCTTTTGAATTATCATGCTTTATCAACTTTACGTTCTTTGTTGTATATATGATTAATGATTATATACATACTCATGAACATGGTTTTAAGATAGGACGTTTAAGATACTGAGCTCTATTTGAGATAGATATAAATATTAGAAATATTATGTTCATGTTTTAGGTGCTTATTTAGTGGTTATTCATACGGTCCTGCCTACAGGCAAATCTTCATGCCTACAGGCGAATGGTCCTGCCTATGGGCAAATGATACTGTTTATGGGCGAATGATGTTGTCTACAGGCGAATGATACTTTTATATATGACTTCGGCCAGGAGATGTAGTGCCTATAGGCGGAAGATATTTATATATGCCTACAGGTGGAAGATGAAGAGCCTTCGGGTGAATGAAGTTATATATGTAAATATATATGCCTTTATGATGCTACTAATCACACTATATATGATATATGTTTTATGAAGTTTTATGGCATGCTAGAGTTTTCGGAAAACCTATTACTTATTATGCTATATGAGTTTTCATAAACCTTGGGGGTTAGTATGTATTAACTGTTTTAGTACTACTTATATATAAACTTGGTCTACTCATGTAATGTTTTGCGCCCCCTCAGGACTTAGAATCGAGGCGTACAATCCCGATGTCAAGGCACTCCCGCATCGGCATCTTCGGGTCCTCTCGGTGTAAGACCCATCCTTTTGTTCATTCAATTTTATATTATTCATTTTTAGTGTCTCGGATTAGTTGTATACTCTGAACATGTTCCATAATTGCAATTTCATTATAATTAAATTTACAAGCTTTATTTATGTTAGTTATTTCTTTCTAGTTCTCATGCATCCTAATATGGATTCGTCACCTTCGGGTGTCGGCCAGCACGTGCCTACCCTGATGTTTGGAGAATATTAGGGTTGGGCGTGTCAATTATCACAACTTAGACCCATTCATGTTAATCTATGCGTCGCTTTATTCGTCTCCGTACAGCTAAAACCAACTTTCCATTGGGGCAATGCCTGAATCATCGAGCGAGTATCATTTAGAATATTTCTAAACGGCGAGTGATCCTATTGACCATCTTGTTGAAGAGCTACCATCACAAGTAACGAATCCCTTTCAAAAACCAAAGCTTGTAATTGCTTCTCCTTGACCAACCAAGCGACATCCTTAGCTGCTATAATCCTGACTATCGGTGGTTTGGTATGGGATACCATACCGAAACTAGTATCCCAAATCCCAAACCAAAATTTTTCGGGACAGGAATTTGAAGACCAATCCCAAACCAAATTTTCAGGAATCCCGAAATATTTTCGGGATTTCGGGACAAATCGGGAATCCCAAATTGAAGTATGAAATTATGAATTGTTGTTCAAATATATAATTCAAGAACACATTCATGAACTAGGAATGTCATTTCATTCACACTATCATTTAATCTAAAACTGGCATGCCTGACTGTTTTTATCAGAGTCAAAATTCAAATTAATTAAACCCTTTTTGCAATTTGTTGAGAGACAAAAAAATCAAGCTTTCTGAAATCATCAGCCACTGTAGCAGCAATAATAAAAACCAAATGAATATCAAACAGAACATAAAAAATATGCAAGGTGTAGGGCATTCCAAGTTGCGGAGCATGAATTAGAAACTACTAGCATCAATTATAAAAGAATCATATATATAATATATATGTAAATATATATATATATAATAATTAGTATTATATATTTTCGGTTCAGTATGGGATTCCCGAAATATCGAGAAGCCAAACCTGAATCCCATACCGAAATTTCAAGATTGGTTCGGGATAGCATCTTGAAAATTTCGAGAATTTCGGTTTGGGATCGGGATTTTTTTTTGGTTCGGTTCGGGATTTTTGGGAATTTTTTCCACCCCTAGTCCTGACTAGCATAGGGGAAAGAATATCATCATGCCTCTTTGCCAAGGCCGCCACAAAATCACCCCTATCGTTCCGAATCACCACCACAACGCCACCAATACTTCTATTTTCATCCCAAGCCACATCAAAGTTACACTTGTACCATCCTTCTCTCGGCTTCATCCATTTTTGAGAAACTTTACAACTGCGTTATTCATTTTTTCCATGCTAGTGTTGGAATTCTTTCATCCAACTAATTGCCCGACAAATTAGTTACATCGGTTCGAGTGCCTTTTCTTGCCACAAAAAGGAGTTCTTTTCTTTCCACATACTCCAAAGAAGAATAAATAATAAATCAGAACTATCTCTTGACAACTCACTTGCAAGTTTAGCTATCCAATCCATCATATTCTCTGTTGTGTTCGTCTGGCTCCATAGCCCCAACGAACAAGACAACCACACTGACGCTGCTCTTGGACAATTTCGCATCAAATGCACTAAAGTTTCATTTTCTCCATTACAAAACATGCACACATCGTCCATGGTGATTTTTTTTTTCTCAGGTTATCGTGGGTTGGTAAAGCATTCCAACAAATCCTCTAAACGCAAATCTTCACTTTCTCAGGTAGTCGAGCCCTCCACAAGGCCTTTCATAGAAAATTAATTTCTACAGTAATTGAGGATCCGTTACTTACTTGACCATGCACCTCACCCATGAATCTTGAAAGATAATAGGCACTATTCATTGTAAATTTCCCATTCGGCTTCGCATTCCAAATCAACCGGTCCGGTGGTTTCCGTGTACTAAGGGGAATACTTTGAATCAAGAGAGCTTCATCTTCCCAAAATAACTCATTTATAATGTCCATATTCCAACTAACGCCTTCCTCTTGTGAGATCAACTTACACATCGTGTATGGATAAATCTACAAATTGAATTGCATTTGTGAGGATAGTTGAGGTAGTAAATATGGATTTAAAGAGATATTGATAGTTTAATTAAAGTTAATATGGATGAAAATAGTAGTAAATATGGGTAGTATAAATAGCTGCGCATCTTATCAGTTCCTTTTATGGTTTATCTCTCTATCCTAGAAATCTTCTTGTCTGTTCATTGCTTGATTCTATAGAATATATGAGATTATGTCTTGGATGAATTCGAATATGGCGTCGTTGGCTAATATATGAAGTCAAATGGCTTAGCCGTACTCTACGTCATTTAATTGTGTTTTTCACATATTTTGTTTAAAAATTCTTCCACATGTAAGGCGAGTAAAATGTGAAATATATCTCACATCGAAGTTTACTCAACTTGACACGAACTAATTATAAAAGATTAAATTCTTTCATATCCTAGTGGCTGAGTCATAATTTTCAAATAATGGTGCCATGATTTCGGACAAAAAAATTCATTGGACCATTTCGTTGAGCATCAAGGAGGAACATGTCTATTCTTGCCAACATCTACTAAAGGCGTATGTCAACAATTACTATGATATGTAGAGGCTTGTCAAGAGTGGCTACGTACAAGAAACTATAAAGTAATGTTAAAGATTGTCAAGACTTGTCAACTAAGGCAATTAATCGAGCGTTTGATGTGCTCGCACACAAGATGAGAGAAGTAAGATAGGGATGATAAAAAAATTAGAAGTAGAAGGTGGAGGTTGTAATTTAATTTGCCCTAACTTTATAGGATCACAATATACGTACAAATGTACATAGGGTTTTGAAGTTGTTGAGGTCATGCACAACCAATGACCCCATGCGACTCCACCACTGTCATATACTACTAATCGATTAATGTACAGTGAAATCTCAACTTTCTATAAAATTATATATTCGAATATCAACATTCTGTTGTCGAGAGCAAACAAATTTCCATGGCCTTTAGCTCATATGGAATAAAACAAAACGACAACTTCTTTCCATGTTGCCAGGGCCAAGAGCAGACAAATTTTCCATTGCCAATATTTATCAAGGTACGTAATTAAATACAAGATGCAGCAATCGACCAAACGTGGTTTATTCTCCTTTTATATGTATTAATCATTAATTAATATTGATTGGAAATGGTAAACAATGGCGCACGTACGAGGGCTAGCAAGAAAGCCTGGTGGCAGCTCAGCTGCTACCATCCGATGAACGTGTTCAACATATATATGTTTCTCTAGATCTTTTTCAGAATCTGAGAGAGTCAGACCAAAGATTATGCTATTTTTAGATGCTTAAATATTCAGATTAAAGATACAAATGTTTATTTTATATGCACATTATAGTTCATGTGATTAATTTCTAATTTTGGCCCGCGTATTTATAAGGTAACCACCACAACCTGTTTATGTGTAATGATCTATACATCTGCTGAGGAATATTGAGAAGGGTTATATAAAACCATGTTGTGTTTAATTAAGAACTAGAAAGGGGTCACTTTGTCGAATACCCCTTTTCTAGTTTCTATTTGTGTTAATGCGGAAGGTTTTTTGGCTCTTTTCAATGCTTGGGAGAAGCATGGATGGATTAGAGGGGTCAAAGTGTGTAAGGGCTCTCCAACCGTAAATCATGTATTATTTGCTGATGATAGTTCATTTTCCCCAGGGCACGATTTAGGAATGGCAACAAGTGAAACATTTGTTGAAAACATATGAAGATGTATCAGGACAAGCTATTAATTATGCGAAGAGTTGTGTAGCTTTCAGTGGAAACTTGACTAAGTATGATGGACAGTTGTTGGCGGATTGCTTGGGTATGTCACGGGTAATATTCTATGATCGCTATCTTGGTCCACCGGTTCTTGTGGGAAAATTGAAGAAGGATACGTTCGCATAGGTTAAAGATCGATTGTGGAAAAAATTGAATGGTTGGAAAGGAAGCCTTCTAAGTAGTGCTGGGAAAGAGATATTGATAAAAATCATAGCCCAAGTTGTACCCCTATACACCATGCAAACCTTCTTGCTACCAAAAACGTTTTGCTACCAAAAACTTTTTCCGATGAGTTGAATCAAATGGTAGCACAATTTTGGTGGGGAAAGGAACAAGGGAAGCGACGAATACATTGGATTCGGTGGAAACATTTATGTAAACCAAAGGGAGAGGGTGGTCTTGGCTTTAAGGATATATATGCCTTTAATCTAGCTTTGTTGGCGAAGCAAAGGTGGCGGTTGATACATGAACAATCCTCTCTGGCATCCCAAATTTTTAAAGCCAAGTATTATCCACAAACTGATTTTCTTTCGGCACCGGTGAAGACAAATTCATCTAATGGTTGGAGAAGTATAGTGGAAGCCCTCAAAGTAATTAGGGCTGGAGCTCGGTGGAGAATGGGGGATGGAGCATCTATTAAAATATGAGGAGATAGTTGGCTACCGAGGAAAAGTTTCTTCAAAGTGCTCAATCCTACAACCCACCCAATCGCCATTCCCTTTCGCCACGTACCTATCACCGGGGACGATGGATCACTTTGAGGAGAAAATTACGGCAAACAGCGGGTCAAGTCCCTCATGTACCCCCTTACCACATAGCAGCGACAACAAAGCAAGCAGGGTACACTCATTTAGAAATAAAAACTCAAAATTTGTAAAGAGAAGTCCCTTTCAAGTTAAGACTACGAAAAAGTGGACCACTTCTTAATCTAAACAATATGATCGTGCTTGCAATCATATTGCAAAAGAGCTTGTCGCACTAGTTTAGGGGTTTTTTTGTTTGTTTCAAATGGTCTGAATCTGAATTCTAAATGCTATTGTCTCTTTATTCTTATTTTTCTTCCCGCTTTGGTTTAAGATGAAATCATCTCTCTGGTTGTGACTATCTATCAATTAAGTACAAGATTTAACCGACTATTTTTAGGGATGGATTTTTATCTTTAGGATGAATTTTGTTGGATGAAATTTCATATCTTTGAGTTTGATTTACTACATGCATGCATGGATGAAAATAAAGGTAGGAGGATATATGTTTGTGATGGTCAGTTGGATCAAAGAGATAATTATTCTCTTCAAAGCTCTACTAGTAAAAAAAACACTTTGCGCGACGCAGGTCCTTCGCGCAAAGTCAAAAAAACGTCGCGCAAAAGTTAGCGCAACGAACCTTCGTCGCGCACCAACCGTCGCGCCAAGGCCGTGACAGAAGGGTTTGCGCGACAAAGAAGAGAACTACGTCGCGCAAAGTAGTTTTGCGCGACGTAGGGCATACGTCGCGCAAAGTGTCTTTGCGCGACACAATTCTTTACGTCGCGCAAAACTACTTTGCGTGACGTATAACATGCGTCACGCAAAGTGTCTTTGCGTGACGCAGATCCTACGTCGTGCAAAGTATTTTTGCGCGACATATGTTACTCCTTCGTCGCGCAAACCACTTTTTTTTTTTTTGGCAAAAATATTTTTTATTTAATTTTTAATAAATATTGTAAATTCTAAACAATAATTAATAAACAAAAAAAAAAGTATTTAATTATAAAATATATGAAAATGTACATACAAGATGTCCGAACAAAAAAGAAAAAACTACAAGTAGTCTTCTATGTTTGATACATCAGACTACTGGGTATCGGCTGGGCGAAGTGGTTGGGAGGTCGAAGGTGGAGCAAGATTAGGTGCTGGCATCGGGATTTAGAGGCCGGAAATCTGTAAGACCCGTACAATAATACTCATCTGCTCGCCCTGGGCTGCAAGTTGACCTTTTAGGGTTGTCACTTCCTCCTTCAAGGCATTGACCTCTCCTGTGGTCGATCTGGAAAAGGAGGCACCCGTCTCACGAACCCGCGCCTTCCCCATACACCGAACAATAAAAATATAACATTAGAAACTAGTCCTTTCTTGCATTTGAAACTAATCAATTAGCAGCCAAAGTAATATCATATCCTTTCTTACATTTGTTCACACACACACACACACACACACACACATATATATATATAAAGCAGTAGTGCAATGGTAGAAACAATACTAATTAACGATGTCAACTATGCTTTAAAACCAATAGGATCAGATGTTCCGTTTATGTGTATCTTGATTATTTTTGGTCGCAAGTTAATATGTCGTATTTTTTATTTTCGTCGTAAAATACATGTAAGAAAGCAATTCTAAGTAGATATATACTTGATGTTTATCCAAAAGCTATCTTCAAACACATTGACAATATTCTTAGTGCAGTTATTAAATTCTATACCTGCAATCTAACTAAGAAAGCTTTAATTATCATGGCCTATCTGACATGGACAAATCAATCATCAAACATAGACAGTCCTTATGCACCTAATTATACAGCATGGGAAGCATGACTTCATCAGTCAACAAACATACACAGTCCTTATGCACAAATCAAAAGTGGCATCAAGAAAAACTGTAACTACAAATGTGAGAATAATCATCGTGTTAGAAATCATTTATCAATCTTAAATAAGTGTCCATACAAGCAAAGTGTTGGCAACAAACCCCGTACAAACCCCGTAGACATGTGTAAGAAAAAGATTAGAAGCACAAGTGTAAGAAAAGGAAAGCTGGATAAGTTACCTGCTTCCCATTCTCATCCATGATAACCATCCTCGGCAACGATTGAACCTGCATTAAGAAATTTGACTCTCATACAAAGAGAAATAGGTTCACTAATGCCCAAACTCAATACAAGCAAACGACGAGAGAACAATCTCAGAACTTATCTGGAAAGAGATCCAAACCACATGCATGCATACATCTTCGTTGCCTCTGAAGACCAAAAGAACCAAACAAATCAGCTCAAAAATGCAACCGGAATTTTCACTATGCCACAATAGATGAAAATTAGCATAGGAAGGCACACAACTGTATATGAACATATATTTTTTACCAGTAAACGAGGGAAGAAAACCTAACTCTCAGAGTCTCATGACTTATTGTCAAAACATAGGCAAAAACTTAATGGACGCAGTTTCCAAATAAGTTTTAAAAACTTTATGAGCCTTGCATGGAAGAGAAGTAATCTTCCAGTACTTGGTTTTCTTAATTGACATGTTTTCAGCAGGAGTGTTGGTTGACATGTACCTCGCCATCCAAGACCTACTTGCTTCTTAAATCTGTTCTTGTCTTTTCATTTCAATTTTTTATTTTTTTTCAAAAGAGGAAGAAACAATTGTCATTATTTTTTTTTGGGTCAAGATTATATTATATGAGATGGGGACTTTCAGATTAAAAATGAGAAACAGAAAAACCTGCTAAATCAAGTAACATAATGAAGATCACTTTTTTTTCTTTTTTCAAATAACAAAAGTCCCAGAGAAAGATTTACCTTCCAAACTGCGTCTCTCTTTGCAGTTCCAACCAAGTATGGATGATGAGCACAGAACAAAACTCGTGTTGCTGCACTTGGAGCTGCAGGTAGAGCTACTAATGATATGACAAGTAAAGCCTTCACTGAAACCTCAACCAAAGGGAGGAATGGTACTTGAGTGTCCAATGAATTATCTGTTTCACTATAACACATAGAGAAAATTAAATCCCCGCCACCATATCAGAGAGGATATGAGAAACAATGTGCAGAGATGGGTACTTAAATGTACAAATCAATACACTTAAACCACCACAAACACTTGTATTTAATATTGTTATTAATAGTATATTTAAATATGATTGAAAGGAAGAACCAACAGCATCAACTAAAGCTACAGAACCATAAGAAGAACAAACCGAACTTAACAATGATGGTCAAGGTTCAAGATGCTTATTCTGCCTGCACCCACCCCAATGGGAAGAATTAAAAAGGATAAGTAGCGTATATAAAAAAGAGTTGCACCTTAACTTTGATCATGCCAAGTGGAGCATTACACATTTCTTGCAGTGTGTTGATCATGCCAATCCTCTGAGCCTGTTTAAATGGAAATGTTAATTAAAGATAACACAAGCAGAAGCCGCTTAACAGTGTGCTCAAATAAGGAAATGTTAAGAAAATATAGTGAGGACTTGTCTTTTCCCTAATTTGAATATTACTCTGACTGAGGAAGATATGGACTTACCTCCTAACCCCACTCTTTGTTCCTAATTAGTCCCTTCCTTACCCATACACCTACAGAAGACCTCCTAACCCCACTCTTTGTTCCTAATTAGTCCCTTCCTTACCCATACACCTACAGAAGAAAAAGAAGAAACTAAAAAGTCCCTTCCACGGCCTAATACCCGATTCGACTCGTTCTGAGTCGGACTCGTTGTCGTGAAACCCAGCCGCAGACGAGCTTGGAGAGGCAGGGGGAGTCGTAGTCGCCGGAGTGCTCGCTTCCTTTGTTGGCGTCACTAGGTCCGGAGCTGTATCCTCCTACGAGTCTATCTTTCACCCGGTCGTCGAGCGGGTAAGTGACCCGTTTCGATCTCGTTCTAACAAAACCAGTCATTGATGATCAAACAGTTTCTCCTTCCTACTTTTGTTTCAGTAAATCGAGGGAAAGAAAGAGGGAAAGAAAGAGAGGGAGATTTTGGGTCTGCAGGGAAAGGTTCAAGATTGGGTTCGAAATAAGGGGAAAGAATGAGGGAAAGAAAGAAAGGGAGATTTGGGGTCTACGGGGAAAAGAGGGTTCAAGATTGGGTTCGAAAGAAGGGGAAAGAAGGAGGGAGGGTTCAGATTTATTTCAACTCAGAAATAAAGAGGGAAAGAAAGAGGGAGGGTTCAGGTTTGGGGAGATAAAGACCGAGTGAGGGAAAGGGAGAGAGAGGACGATATGAGCGAGAGGGAGAGAGAGGGTGATTCACCTGCGTGAGAGGATGAGGGAGACGGAGTGAGAAGAGAGAGTTCAGTGAGAAGAGAGTTCGGGAGACCGAGTGAGAAGAGAGAGTTTGGGTTTATCACAGATAGCGAAAATTTAAACAAAACGCCTATTTTTAACAAGTGCACCGCCAAAATTATCACACATTGCGCGACGCAGGTTTACCTTTAGACGTCTCGCAAAGGGCTTTTGCGCGACGAGTACACATGGCGTCGCGCAAGATATTTTTTTTTTTATAAATATTATAAAATGTACTGAAAATGTAATTTTACTGCCTTCAAATTCAATTTTTTTTTCCATAAAACCCACAATAATATATTGTTATAAAAATTGCAATAAATTTAAAGCTACTTAATAAATATACATGTTTTTCAATTTCTTAAGTGTTATACGTACAGAATAAATAAATTTAAATTTACTTAATATATATATACACACATACCATTGAAATTGATGAGATACGCATTGTACAAAACTAATTTGAACGATCAAACCGTGAAACTTGTTTGTATATACTTCGAGATTGCATACACCAAAAATTGCAAAAAAAAACATTCAGAGATTAAGTAACGGGACAAAACTTTGCGACGGTTATAACCGAAAAATCACGATTTAACGGTAGTTTTAACTCCGATTTTAATGATTTTTTACAGCTACACTCCTTGATCCTATATGAATACAATGAACTAATTCGATTGTCAATTTAGAATATTTACACAAGTGGATACCACAAAATCTTTATGTTATACTTAATGAAAGTATAAATAAACTCTAAGTGTTAGTGAATCTATCATTTTGATGGGATACGCATTCTATGAAGCTAATTTCAAGGATCCAACCGTCAAACTTATTTGTATATGCTTTGAGATCACATACGCAAAAAATCGAAAAAAACAAACATTCAAAGGTCGAGTAACATGACAAAACTTTTCAACGGTTATAAACCAAAAATCACGATTTAACGGTAGTTTTAACTCCGATTTTGATTATTTTTTATAGCTATAGTACTTGATCCTATATGAATACAATGAACTAATTCGATCATCAATTTAGAATATTTACACAAGTGGATACCACAAAATCTTTATGTTATACTTAATAAAACTATAAATAAACTTTAAGTGTTAGTGAATCTATCGTTTTGATGGGATACGCATTTTATGAAGCTAATTTCAAGGATCCAACCGTCAAACTTGTTTGTATATGCATCGAGATCACATATGCAAAAAATTGAAAAAAACAAACATTCAAAGATCGAGTAACGGGACAAAACTTTTCAACGGTTATAAACCAAAAATCACGATTTAACGGTAGTTTTAACTCCGATTTTGATTATTTTTTATAGCTACAGTACTTGATCCTATATAATACAATGAACTAATTCGATCGTCAATTTAAAATATTTACACTAGTGGATACCACAAAATCTTTATGTTATACTTAATGAAAGTATAAATAAACTTTTAAGTGTTAGTGAATCTATCGTTTTGATGGGATACACATTCTACGAAACTAATTTCAACAATCAAACCGTCAAACTTGTTTGTTTATGCTTCGAGATCGCATACGCAAAAAACAAACATTCAGAGGTTGAGTAACGAGACAAAACTTTTCGACGGTTATAAACGAAAAATCATGATTTAACGGTAGTTTTAACTCCGATTTTGATTATTTTTTATAGCTACACTCCTGAATCCTATATGAATACAATGAACTAATTCGATCGTCAATTTAAAATATTTACACAAGTGGATACCACAAAATCTTATGTTATACTTAATGAAAGTACAAATAAATTCCAAGTGTTAGTGAATCTATTATTTTGATGGGATACGCATTGTATGAAACTAGTTTCAACGATCCAACCGTCAAACTTGGTTGCATATGCTTCCAGATCGCATATGCCAAAAATCACAAAAAACAAACATTCAGTTATTATGTAACGGGACAAACCTTTTCGAAGGCTATAAACCAAAAAATCATGATTTAACGGTAGTTTTAACTCCGATTTTGATAATTTTTTATAGCTACACTCTTTAAGTCTATATGAATACAATGAACTAATTCGATCGTCAATTTAAAACATTTACACAAGTGGATACCACAAAAGAAAAATGCAATGCAAGAACCCAAAAAATAAAAAAAAATAAAAAAATAGAAGACTTTGCGCGACGTAGGTACTGCTACGTCGCGCACAAGTTTTTTTGTTTTTGGCCCTTTTGCTTATAAGTACAAAATAAATAAATGAAAATATACTTAGTAAATACATATACCATTGATTTTGATGGGAAACGTATTGTACGAAACTAGTTTGAATGATCCAACCGTCAAACTTGTTTGTATATGCTTCAAGATTGCATATGCCAAAAATCACAAAAAAAAAATTCAGAGATCAAGTAACGGGACAAAAATTTTGATGATTTTTTACAGCTACACTCTTTAACCCTATATGAATACAATGAACTAATTTGATCATCAATTTAAAACATTTACACATGTGGATACCACAAAAGAAAAAGACAATGCAAGAACCAAAAAAAAAAAAAAAAAAAAAAAAACTTTGCGCGACGCCAACCTTCGTCGCGCAAAGTTACGTCTCGCAAAGGCAGTTTGCGCGACGTTTTGTGTTTTCCGTCGCGCAAACATACTTTGCGCGACGAAATTTTCTCCGTCGCGCAAGATTCCGTCGCGCAAACATATTTTTCTACTAGTAACTACTCCAAGATTTCCAAGCCCTCGGCAATTTCAACTTAAACGATTCATGGTTGTTTTGCCCAATATGTCATAGGAAATATACTAGTACAAGTCCATGAGAAGACAAAGGAACGAGCCACAAAATCCTCTTTTGCATGTCATTTGATTTGTTTGACCTCAACACTATGGCATCTCCCCTAGACGATCTCAGCACTACGGCATCTCCCTTGTTGATCTGTTTGCGATTGTTTATTTGGGTTTATTGATAAATTTTAGTTGTATTGTTAAATTCATCTTGTACTTTATGGTAATTATGCACTAAGGTAAAAAAGACAATTAGTATTTAAAGTTTAAGTTAGATGTAAAAAAAATTATATGGGTTCAAATAAAATTTTCCAAAAATAATCCACTCAAACTCGACCGAAAAGCTTCGGAATAAAAATGGACTCCCACACCAACTATATTCGTGAAGTAGTGCAACTAGGATGATTCTTACATATAGCCAATCATCCATTTTAATTCTTAGTGGCTGCACGAGGATAGAAGCTTGTAAATAACGTTGTATTATTGAAACAAGTTCATCACTACGTAGTATTTTGGTCTAATAGTATGACATTATGTGGAGAAAAATTTATAAATAACGTATTAATTGACTCAAAACGCGATTGTGACAATGAACACCTTCTATTTATGTCATTCTCCCAATATAATGGCTTAGGAATTGTGTGTTTGGCCGAATAATTCACATGGTTGTGCATATTCTAGGACAATTTTTCAGGGCCAAAGTAAAATGGATGGAAATAGAAGTATCTCCTAAGGCTGGTCAGGGACTCTATAGCCTTTATCGCAGAGCTACTAGACGAATGAACGATACCACCGTCACTTTGTTCCGAATAAGTGGGTGAAGTCCGTCAACTTCGTTGAGATTGACCATTATTGCTCCGCAAGATACAAAAACTAATCATATGGAATTAGTCAGGTTTCCTATATTCTTAGAGATTCCTACAATCTAGGGATTTTACATATGCTGCAAGTAACCACACTCTAATATCTAATTCTATAAATCATATGGGATTCTCTCGATTTAATACAAATTCTATATCCTAAAATGACTCTATCTCGACTAGTACCCTTCTAAGGTTCATCATGGGTAACACAATTATCACATACCTTATTATCTAGCCACTGCTCGAGTCCCCTCCCTAGATGCGATTATTGCTTACTAACTTGACAGTCAAAGACCAGCACCCCAACGACGCGAAGGTTACTTTATGGTTTGTTTATTGTTTCACAGGTAGCCGAGTTTGGGCATCTCCTCTCTTCACGGTGGTGCGCAACTTTGGTTCCAACACATGATTTAATTTTCCTTAAACTACCCCCTTTACAATCTTTCTTTTGACATCTTCCTCTCTCTCGTTTAAGAGTGTTTTACGAAAGGATCGGATCAGAAACAATATTTTCAATTTTTGTTAAATTTAGTAATCGGATTGAATCAAATCATAATAAGGTTTATAATTGACCAATTTTCCTCTTGAACTTTATCTGATTACCCCTAAACGTTTATAATTAGCCAGTTTCTAGTAATGAATTTGTGGAGATAAGTAATTAATTTCTTATGTGAATTTGAGTCTTGAATTGAAATAGGTGAACCAAGATATCATGTGAATCAAGTCACAATGATGGCTAATTAATGACATGACATCACAACCCCAACATGTTGTTGAAAAACAAGATTATAGGGAAGTATTTATCCACTTTAGAGATAAAATTCAAACAAAAAGTGTATCAAGTGAACTAGCGGAAGAGAAGAAGGAAAAAAAAAAAAAATATGTTGTCACATTAAGGAATAAAATTACCTTTGCGTATGTCATCAAACTATTGTCATGTGCTGTGCACGCGACCAAGATGGATGAAATTTTTCAAAATCTAAATTGCCAATTATAAGAGTTTAAGAGGGTAATCAGCTAAAATAAAAGTTCAGGGAGAAAATTGCCCAAATATAAAAGTTCTGGAAAAATTGGCCAATTATAAAAAGTTCAGGAGGATAATAGGCTAAAATTAAAGTTAAGGAGGAAAATTGGCAATTAGCACTCATAAGAAATTTATAATCCACTCATGGGAAAAAGTTTTTCCCATGTTAAACAATGATATATTCTTAACGTCTGATTAGATTAGGTAATCATTCAAAAATGAAAAACAAACGCTCATTACTTTTTGTTTCCCTATAATTATAACCACAATAGAAACTAAATAATTAAATTTATGTTAATTATGTTTCTGAGATACCGGGTTTTATTTCTTTTCTTTTGAGAGAGGTAATTAAGATATATAAAATGAATTTAAATTGAATTTTTTAGCCTTAATTATTTAGAATTTTTAATTAGAAGTCAGAAAAACTTGACATCTACTTACAATTCGGAGAAAATCCACAAATAACTCTAAATTAAAGGACCTCCTCGTACAAATAAACGGTAATAGTTATCGTGCGACCCACAAATCCTCCGCGCGTACATCCCAACGGTTTCACAAATGGTGGGACCCTTCCCGCTGATTAGAACTAGTTCCTAATCTTGCGCCCACATCGACTCCTGCACTCGACCGCCGGCCACCATCGCTTTTTCACCAGAATCTCAGCAAGCCACCGTCCTCCCTCTCTCTCTCTCCGGCCATGGACTCGGGAGAGCAACCTCCGAAGAAGCGGAAGCTGCACGAATCCCAACCAGAACTGCCTCCATCGCCGCCATTATTACAACCACCGCCACCACTGCAAACCCTAGCCCCGCCGCGGAGCGTGGGCGCTCCGCAATCTCTGTCTCAGGAGGAGATTATGAAGAAACGGAGATACAGAGACGAGATTCGAAGTGTATACGATTGCTACAAGCGGATCAAGTTTTGCCTTTCGAAGAATGACTCTGCTCTCACGCCGGAGCTCGAGCAAGCTTATCTCTCTCTCATCACTGCTTCCAGAGGTTCGTGTTGCTTTTACTCTTTTGCCCCTGTTCGTTTCGATTTATTTATTTTTCTCATGTGAAGATCAAGTAGCGTGTGATGATTGTTGGCATTGTGTAAATTTAAGTGAAGAATCAAAGAAAAGTTCATGATTAGGGTTTCGTTTTCGGGTTCTATGTAAATTTGCATTACATGAGATCGAGTAGGTAGCATCGGAATGTTGCGCAGATGAAGTAGGTGCTGATTATGTGTTCAACAACTTTATGCTGCTAGTTGAATTGTACTTTGCCCGTAAAATTGAATTAATGAATGGAAAAGAGAATGCTTTGCAATGAACGAGGTTGTGACCCTCATTAGTAACATTCATACTTTAGGGTGTAGATTATAATTTTTTCTCTTCAATGTGGTAATCCTCAGTATAAACTTCACAGGTTGTACGAGTGTACAACGCATTGTTGCTGATCTCATTCCTCGGTATGCTTCAAAATGTCCAACTGCCCTTGAAGCTGCAGGGAAAGTTGTTATAAATATGTATAACTGGAGCATGGCAGTAATAAAGAGAGGAGAGGATGCTGATGGTGTTGCATTTCAGACTGCTAAATCCTGTGTTCTTGGTCTAGCTGATATTTGCTGCACTGCATCTTCAGTGGCACCAACATCATCCGTCATTCGGGGGATTTGCTCTGCAGTTTTCCAGAATGTGCTCACCTTCTTCATATCCTCCTGTGAGGGAAAGGATGTCTTTCTTATTGTTGGGAAAGAAACTGTGAGAATACAAGATTCCTCTCAAAAATTTTCTGAGCTAAAGCAAAAGGTTTTAGATGAAAATGAATCGTCACCTATTAAATTATCCAAGTTATGTGCTCTCAGTTTAATATGGATTCTCTTTAGTTATCCACAAAAATTACTCGCAGCCTGGTTTGAACTCTTTAAATCCAGTGCATCGGATGGAGTTCTGAAAGGGCAGTATTTTCTAAGGCAAATGACAAGCAGGCTTGATAATGATGGTGGATATCCTTTCGGTAAAACTGGTGATGAATCTAAATCAAGTACAGGTTATACTGAATCTAGCACCAGAGGCTGCGAGGTTAGCTCTGAGCAGGTAGCATCAGATGGCAATCATGTCTATGGGGATGCATCAACAATTTCAGAGAGCTGCTTGTTAGGACTGGTAATTCTTTTGAGCTTCCCATGCTTTATATGTTATGTCATAGTCAATTCTGATTGTTGTACCAATTTTTTGCTGTATAAGCTATTGATTTCTGATAGTGTACTTGCAAATCCTAATATTTTCAAGTTAGTGGAGAAAATATCGGTTGCTGACCATTGTTTTTTTAACAGAATTTGGAAATTTTTTATGCCATATATTGTTTGTATAACAAAAACAGATAATATGTAATAGTAGGGTATGATAGTAAGCGTATTGATATGCATGATGCATCACATGCATCCTTCTGTACCATCTGTTTTGGAATTGCAACTCAGCTTCAGTTGAATGCAACAAATTTCTTTAGGAAAATGATTGTTGAGTTGACTAAGTTCTAGAAATTTAGGTACTATTGCCAATGAAATGTTAAACCAACACATATGTAGAGGAGATGCGGTAATTTGGGGCAGACACTACTCAATGGGGATCTTTTACATTCCTAAAATGGTTATCCTTGTACTTCTGACTGATTGGTAGAAATAAGTTGAATTTTATCCAGTATTTGGTTTGAAGATGAAAATTTGTGTTTTCCTTTTGTTTAGTGATTTGTTTAATTATAGTTATTCCTTTTCTGATATTGCTGACTGTCTCTTGCCCTGGGGCCTTTTTTGGTTTTCTTTTCCTTTTTTTTACGTATGCAGGTTCTTAGCAAAGATCCGTCATTGCAAAGTTGGATGTTCTCAAAGTATAAAAAGTTATGTAAATCGTCGTCTTCCAAAGTTTTTAATGATATTAAATCTTCTTTGGAAGATGTATTTAATTCATTTTTAGGGCGAATGGATGTGGGAGATGATCAAGTGGATAGTGATGAGGATGATTCTGATCCATCCAGATTTATTGAACGAGCATATCTGGTTCCTAGGTTCTCTAACCAACATGAGGCCTGTAGTGAACTGTATGGAAAAGATAGTAAGTTAAGAACTAATAATGGATCCTATCATGTTTTTTATTTTGACAGAGTTTCAGGTCAACATCTGAAACCGTACAGCTCTATAATCCCTCTTGAAACTACTCTTGCAGGTTCCAATCAGGAGAGTTGGGGAACAAGGTCCACAAACTCTGAGATTAGGGAGCATGGAGATATGTCACATGGCAGGTCTTCTGTGCCAAGGGACCTAATGAACCACCAGGTTCTTTCACCTGTCACAAGATCTCCACTAAATTTCAGGAGTAATTCATTTGATGGGAGAAACATGGTCATCTTGACAAGAATCAAGATGCAATGGATTTTGGCTCACCTCTCATGAGATCTTCAAGTGGTGGTGTAAATAGTTCTTTTGAATCTCCTAGACCTCATATGGTGTCACCATATACTTCCACAACAACTCAAATTGTTTGGTATTCGGATGGGGATATTGGAGCCATGGATATTTTCTCCGCCTCTAAGCAGCTCTGGCTGGGCTTTTCAGGATCTGATGCGTCTGAAGCTCATGTAAGGTTTCAGTTAGAGAGGTTTGGTGCAGTAGAACAATTTATTTTCTTCCCACTCAAGGGGTTTGCCTTGGTAGAGTACAGAAACATTGTGGATGCCATAAAGGCTCGGGAATATATGCGTGGACATTTTCCTTGGCACGTGAAGTTTATGGATATAGGACTGGGAACTAGAGGTACCATGAATGGCATTGCAGTTGGTTCTAGTTGCCATGTTTATGTTGGAAATGTATTAAGTCAATGGGCCAAGGATGAGACTCTGCATGAATCAAGAAAAGTGATTTACAAGGGTCCTTACATGGTCACTGATCTTAGCAATGAAGGTGCGTTACTGATGGAATTTGATACTCCTGAAGAAGCTGCTGCGGTTATGGCACATCTCAGACAACATCGCAAGGAAAGGAGTAACCACAGGCCACCATATGGTGCAGGGCCAGCTAATGTCGTAATATCCCAAACTGATGGTGCAAGATCTGCACCTACCCCTACTCATATTGACATAAGAAGCAGCACCCCTGGAAACATGTCCAGTAGTCATGTTGCTGCACCGTTTTCAGTAAATCATGAGAGCCACCCCATGGAGCTTGCATCCCCTAGAGTAACATCCGAGAATCAGGGGAATACTGTACAGAGTGGATATTTATTTCAGTCAAAGAGAGCTACTGGCTCCACGGAGATGCTTGAATCTGGCACCCCAAAGCTTGATGGTTATGACAATAACTCACCTGTGGATCCTTCACAAGGTGAAATACTTTTGGTAGAAGTTTATTTGAAACTAGCCTCCTTCTCATTCCTTTTCTGTCCTTTGATACTAAATGAATTGTATATTGAATGGTTTTACTATAGGTAGTCATGCCATTTCTCGTGCTGCTGAACAAAAGTGGATGTATGCAAAACCTGGAATGGAGCTGCATTCCGCACCAGGGAGCATTCCTTGTGTTCCTGTGCCAACACAGGGACCCTGTGTCCCACCTCCACTCCAAATTCACTCATCTCCATTTATACGGCCTGTTTACCCCCCTCCAAGTTGTTCTTGGGATCCACGGGGTGTAAATCATAATCCTCCTTTGAACCCAATCTCACCCGGTGTAATGCCCAACAATTTTCATGGGAATGCTATTGTAGCTCCCTTCATTCCTGCTTCTGTGACTCCACTTGCACAAATACAAGGAACTCCAGCACAGCAATTTGACCAAATGTTTTCAGTACCGATAATTCCACCACCGTTATCATCTCAACCACCTCCTCTGCCTGAAATGCCACCTCCAGTGCCCCCATCTCCACCACCTCTGCCTCAGTCGCAGCCGCCTTTTGTTCCTCCTCCTCCCCATTCACCTCCTCCACCTGTTCCAGAATCATCTGGTGTGGAAAGTTCTGGACAACGCTCTCAGTATCAGTGGCAGGGAATGTTATGCAAAAGTGGTGTTCATTACTGTACTGTTTATGCGCATAGGGTGGATTCAGATATATGCAAATATTTGAATGCCATTTCTGAACCTATAGAGTAAGTTCTTTTCTTTTCCCCAGTTTCCTTTCTGAAATCTCATTAAGGTTTTTTTGAGTATAAACTAAATATCTATTCATAATTTATGGCTAATTGGTTCAGATGGCCTGCTAAGTTAGACATGACCAAGCGTACAGATTTTCGGCATGTGAAGTCAACATTTACTAGCACCCCACCACATAAAGTAAGTCCATTAATATTACCATCCTGAACTCCATATCTGTCATTCATTTCCAAAATTTATTTATATTTGTTGTCTTTTCTTTTACTTGTGATGCAGAGGGAGGTATGCAGATTGATCCCAGCTTCTGCAGGCGACCACAAGGGCGTAAGTTATCCTCTTTCGCATTGGTCCTGTAGTTCTGTAGCCTCTCTCTTGGGATGGTAGCTATGCTGTCCCTTGATAAAGTGATAGTATTGTTTATCTGGACTAGGAAAAAGATGAACTGTTAACCATGAAAACAATTCCAGAACATGTTTGTTAGAGATTACATTAGTTATGTCTTGTAAACGTCTTACACGTAAATATTCTAAGATTTGTAGACACGGAAGGAAAAGTTGAAGGTGTTCAGACCAGTCTAAACCAAAGTTCGTAAACATCCCAAAGTACAATCTACTGAGATTCATGCAATTCCAAGATTTGTAAATGAAGATCTTTGAGATTCATATTTGTACATGTTTATCTACCCCCAACACATAAGCGTAGCCATGATTCGCTATCCTGTTTCAACTGCCAATGAATTCCTGCATATATTAAGTCTTTCGTTTCTGTTCTCCAGTTTCAGGATTTCGTTTCATACTTGAAGCAGAGGGATTGCTCAGGAGTGATCAAGATCCCGGCTGTGAAATCCTTATGGGCGAGGCTTCTGTTCATACTTCCACACTCTGATGACATTTGTGCTATGCTCTCTATTGCACCGAGTCCTCCTGATTGTCTCATTGCTCTAATATTACCTAAAGAAACAAACTTCGAGTGGGTATGATCTTCTAATTTATGATATGGGTGGAAGTCTCTGCATACATGTGCTTCTTATGCCCTATATAGCTTATTGGAAGAAACTATGCTTTATGCTTTCTAAACTAGTTGAGTTTTTGCTTTCCTGCTTCTCTTCTACGAAGGCAATGATGAAAGTTTTGAATGTTATTATCGTCGGTGACATATTTCTTTTTATCTTCTTGTACATGGTACATATCGCAGCAAACTTTATAGTATAAGGGTTGTTTCGGCTTAGCAGAGGCCGATCGACAGAATTTTCTCTCTTGTAGAATAGAAATGCCCTGGCATGTGGAGCTTCTGTGGAATTTAGTTCCCTGAAGATGTTAACCTTTTCTCTAATGTTAGTGCTAAAAATTTTAGATATCACTGACCGCTGTGTAAAGATTATTTCTCTGAAGCTATGCTGCCATTGTTTTTTCATCTCGGAAAGTAATTTTTCTTTAATAGTCTGGACTACTTTTTGGTACGGAAATGAATAGTCATGATAGAATTGAGAAAGTACTATTTTTGTTTGCTTGCCAATCTAATGGATATAAAGTCCGATTACTAATAATCCCAACTATTAAAGACTCACCCCTCTGAAAGTCTCAAAATTACATAAGCCTCGACACAATGTGCCCGGCTTGTTTCCTTTTTGGCTGAAAATACTTTTACTCTCGGAAAATAATTTTTATCACCTTCCTTTTCCTACTGCTTACTCTTTATTTCTGCTTTTTCAGAAGGGGTGCGAAAATCACCTCTGTTATTATAAGCTCCTTAAAATTCTTAACGGAAACTTCTTGAAAAAAAGAACTTAGAAATGTATAACCACGAGACACTTCTTTTTTTTTTTTTTTGGCCAATGGTAGTGAAAACGTTTCTCATGAATGATTGAAATTAAAATTATAAGATTTAGAACTCGTTTTGAAGTGCTTTTAAATTGACTGAAAGCGCTTTCTGGTGAAAATGTTTTTAGACTCAACCTTTAGTAAAAATGCAAGTGAATCATTTAAAAACACTTAAAGTGTTACATGCAAAAAGCACATAATGAATTGATGTGGTATATTCATATCATAACATATGAACAGTAAGAACTAGCATTCTTATTGAGACTAGAACTCATAGGGAAGAAAAATAGATTTATGTGTGTCGCCCAGGGCATAAGGGGCATGATGACTTGACGTCATCCTCACCTTCCTCCGGCTTATCACCGGCAGTTTGCTCAGGGCAAATGAACATAACCTTCAACCAATTGGCGCTCTCTGCCATTCTTCTATCTCTCTCCATTGATAGACAACCATTGCACATGGCTTTCCCTATGTATAATCTAAAATTAGTTCCTTCCCTATGCACGACTCTAAGAAAGTTGAATACTTAGTTGATCAACCCTTAATCTTACTTGATGTAATTGACTCTGTATCCCTCTGTTAGAAGTGTTCTAAAAATGTTTTTAAAACCAATTTTTAGTAAAAAGTCAAGTGAATTCTCAAAAAACATTTAAAGTGCTTCATGCAAGAAACACATAACTAGTGCTTATTATAGGAAACACTTTCAATGCTTTTATAACCCAAAAATATTTTCGCTAAAAACACTTTCAGTCATTTCAAAAACATTTCCGAATGAACCCTTAAATAGTTGTAAAAATACTCGTAGGATTGAATGATATATGAAATTAGAAAATAAAATAAAATGTCAAGAGTCAATAGTCAATAGAGGCTTGGTTGCCAATGCCTAGTGACTTGTGAGTGTTGGCCAAGAAATAAAAGAAAAGCCGCCGCGCCCGGCCTACAAATACCAGGATTTGGCGCAACTAAGCGCCACCGACCTCCCAGTTCTTTGGTTTCCATTCGACGCACCGTCTTTTCTTCTCCCTCTGAGTCTCACTTGCCCTCAATCGAAATCCGATCGGACTGAGTGCGAGGGAGAACATGTCGAACAGAAACTCTCACCCCCGAACCGCCGGAAGCAAGGGTGTCCCAAAACCCCAAAAGGTCTTCGTCCCCAAGAATCCAGACAATAACAATCCAATCCCTCGTGAGCCCAATCTCAATCCCAATCCCAATCCCACGCTCTCCACCTCTCTCCGGCAATCGCTATCCAAGCAGCAATCCAATGCCGAAACTTCCACCGCTGCTTCGGTGCCGCCGTCGGGGAGCAGGGTTCGGATGGGGGACAAAGGTGAGTGGGTGCCGAGCAGAGCTCAGGGTGGCAATTTCGTAAGTTACTTGCCCCAGGATGAGGCGGTGGCGGCTGGGCTCGGCGCCGACGAAGGCGGATTGGACGCCCTGGAGTCGCAGAGAGTGGTGGATCTTCTTAACAGAGAGCTCTCTCGCCTGCTGAAGTTAAACCCTAAGGAGTTTTGGCGACAAGGTAAAATAACTGCTGTGACATTTACTTCTTGACCTGCAAAAGCCGGAAACTTAACACTGAATATTCAATTTGTTGTTAATATTTTCACTGTTTTTGTGTTGATGCTGCCCCATTGTTGTCAGTGGCTAGTGATACATCGTTGCATGAATTTCTGGATAGCTTTCTACAGTTTAGGAGTAGGTGGTATGATTTCCCTCATCGCGGCGCCAAGGAATTGGTGGCGGGGGTCATTGTTGGGGAGTTTGAATTGAGCCGCCGTGTGTTCATGGTATTATATCGAATGTAAGTCTGAGGTTGCAGCTGTATAGCATCATGTTCTGTTATTGCGTTGTTATTATCGCTTTTCGTACTCACTTTCTCTGTCATCGTAATGCAGATCTTCTAATAGGGATCCTGGCGCTCGTCTTGCTGATAGTCTCAGTTCACAAGACCATGAAGGTGTTTTCCGTAGATATGTTTTCTCTGTAAATTGTTTTTCATAAAGTTTGGTGGGCAAGATAATCTGTTTTGTTAGAACATGATTAGTGTAACCCTTAAAGATTTTGGATATTATTATGCATTACTTTATGTCATTTTCCTTTCTTCTTCTTTTTCTCTAAAATTTGCGCAGTGTGGTAACTGATGTAGTTCGTTACAAATTCCATACCGTATCCATAGATGAGATGACTTTTGCTTCCATACTAGAGTTTGCTAGGTGCTTTTACGTCTCGTGAAAGTCTATATATATGTCCTGTATTTGTATTCGAGTTGAATACATCTAATTGGAGAAAATACATTTAGGATTCTTTTTTTTTGTTTAATAGTGTATCGAAATAACAGTTGTTCATTAATTCCACATGTAGATCTTTTGCAGGAGATGAAGTTGCTTGACTTGCCTAAGTTGTTAGACATATGTGCTATATATGGTCATGAAAATGAAGATTTGACCAGAGTGCTGGTAGGAATTTCATAAATAGCGGCCTAGTGCCCTCTCCAATTGCACTCTCTGTCACTCACTCACTCAGTCATTCTTTGTTATTATGTTTTTCAGGTTGGCAATGCAGTAAAAGCTCATACTAGGATCCGTGACAATTTGACTGCAGTAGCATCACATTTCCTTAGCATTGTCCAAACAATGTACCAACGTAGCAGCTCAGCCTTGGAGGTATGCCCTCAAATCTTTTAAAATCAAAAGTGACTGATTCCACCTTTTGTTCCGTTCATCCTGTTTAATAAGGATGCAAAAGTGGGTTTCTATAGTCATAGTCTTGATATATACTCGAGGAAGCTTAGTAAAATAACAGTGAAACTCATATGTCGCATAAATAATGTTGATCAAACTTTTCTGCCTAACGAATAATGGTTAAGTCTTTACTAGTTATGTATCTTCAATACTATTTTAATTAGTTTTTACTGGAAGGATTTATAAGCACTCCTGATATCATGTGCAGACCCTTTTTTCCTCTGGAAACACTGGAGAACACGGATCCAGCCGTCTTCTTGCTGATTTATTGGAAGTGAGTTGCTTTCTCTTCTTATTGACTGAACTTATTAGTACAACTGATTCCTTCCTCTACTCCTTTTCAGTACTTAGCTGCAATTTGAATTAATTCCTTAAGAGATTTAGAGTAATAGTGGGTTTTAATTTGGATTTGTTCTGCTACATGCTGTACAAAATTAAATTAAATTTTTAGAACAATGGGGGATATTATATATGGAAGTTTTATTAACCAATTTTTTGCTACAAATACAGCTAAGGAAATTCTTTTCATTTTCGTTTTCTTATATGGGTTGGATCTATGATGTTTCAAGTGGACCATTGCTGTTTTCTGCTTCAACTTTTACAAGACATGAGGATGTTGGCATGCTTATGATACTCTATTTAAGAATTTTCTCCTTTCTTGGTAGGTTATGGACTTCATCAACGATGCAATTGTATCCATGGATGCTTTCTTAACTGCATACGAACCATCTGCTGTCTTCTTGTTGTGCCCTGTTGAAACCAGGTATCTTTCCTTTGGGCTTGGCTGTTTGAGTCAACAATCAGAAGGTTTATCTTAGAATATAGTTTGGCTCTTCTAAGCTGAGTATCTGATGGAAACTTCATCAGCATGTTTTGGTCGTTGTCTAGGAGTTTTTGTAGTGGAACCTGCTCGTTTGGTAAATCATGTTTTTTTAGCAATAATGCTGTCAAAAGTTTCAATAATGATGAAACAGTATATCTTTGCTCTCTCTTTCTATGCAGTCATGGGAACGAGGCATTACTAAGCACTCTAGCAAGGTTGCATGATTCATTACTTCCATCTTTGCAGCGTGGATTTCGAATAATTTCAGCAGATGGAGAAGATAAAATGGTGTCTAATATTGCTTTAAGTTTGAAGATGTTATCAAAGAGAATTGTCAGATTCGGTTGGAAACTATTGGATTTGTGCTATCTAAGTGATGAGGCCTTCAAAGCTAACCTCCCCATTCCAGCTGCTGCGGAGATGTTTCCAGCCAAAGTGGAGGATCTTTTCATTAGATCAGATATACTGGTTCAAACTTTAAGAGAGATTAATGGAATTTCCGTATGTGCTCAGGAGAACCAGAATAGGCAAACATTTCTTCAAAATATTGAAAAGAACTTCAACATTATGAGCAAAATGGAGAATTTACAAAAGATTGGTGAGCTATTACATGCTATTACAGTATATTGTACTTGTACAAGTTTTGCATTGGCTCGTTTAATATAATTATGCTTGAAGAAGCAAATTCATATTTAGTCAGCTTTGTTCGTGCAGGATGGATAATCATGGATGATGAGCAGCTGGGGTATGTATATGGAATACTTATGTCTACTCAGAAACTCATAGTTAAGGAGCAGCCCAGTACGAAAGCCGCTTTGACAAACAAGAAGGTGCAGATAGATGAAGATGTTGCAATTGTGGAGTCGCGAATCAGTCAAATAAAGGACCTGTTCCCTGATTATGGAAAAGGTTTCTTAGCTGCTTGTCTTGAAGCCTATAACCACAATCCTGAGGAGGTTATTCAGAGGATTCTTGAGGGAACTCTTCATGAAGACCTGCAGTCCTTGGATATGTCATTAGAGACGATGCCAGCACCCAAGACTGCAACTGTT